CATTCATTAACACATAATCAACAGTTCAACAGCTTCCCCCCCACAAAGAATCCTGGGACTCGTAATGTCTCCAGCCACAGAGAAATCTCTAGGAGGGACACTTAACCTCACCACTCCCATGTAAACCCTGCGATTCTCAGGGCTGCCTGCGGAGAAGCCAAATGATTGATAACCTCATTTTAAGTCTCCAAGGAAGGAGTTGCTCCCGGACGACCGGCAGTCTTGTTTTTCTTTTTCTTTTCTTTTTGGTGTTGTTTTCTGGTTCTCCTGTCGGTTTGGGGCTACAGCTTAAAAGCTCATTTCTGGAGGATTTACAGCCATAACATGCCATGAGAATTTAAGCGCTCTGGGCGGGAACACCAGGAGGTCCCCTTCAGTGGTGGGATTCCAATTTTTTTTTTTTTTACTACTGGTTCTGTGGCTGTGGCTTGGCGGACATGACTTGGTTTGGTGGGTGTGGCTTGCTGGGCATGGCAGAGGAGGGATACTGCAAAATCCCCATTCCCTGCCCACCCTTCTAACCTGCTTTCCAGCTCCGTTCTCCTGTGCAGGGCAACCAAAGGAGACCCAGCCTATCAGCTGTGGGCGTGGCTTGGTGGGTGTGGTGTTCTGTGGGTGTGGCTTGGTGGGTGTGGCAGGGGAAGGATATACTGCAAAATCCCCATTCCTTGCCCACCTCACTAACCTGCTTTCCAGCTCCGTTCTCCTGTGCAGGGTAACCAAAGGAGACCCAGCCAATCAGCTGGGACTCTATGGGAGGCAGAGAAGAGATGGGGTTGGCGGGGCCAGTCAGAGGTGGGATTTGCCAGTTCTCTGAACTATTCAAAATTTCCGTTACTGGCTCTCCAGAACTGGTCAGAACCGGCTGAATACCACCTCTTGTCTCCTTGTTTCGCATAAACAGTATATATTCACCAGCCTGCTTGCTTCCTGAGAGCTGTGCTGGATCTGTCATACAGGGAGAGGTGTAAGAAGTTTTTGGGCAGGGCAGAGCAGAGGAGGAAACTGCAAAAGGAATCCAGCTATTAATGGTCTCCGTGCTAAAAGATTCTCTTTCCTGGCATCTCTTAAGCCCGTTACATTCTGTTTGGTGCGCTTGAAATTTCCTGACAGTGAAAACAATTCACCGGTGGAACCACTTGCCTCCAGAAGTTGTAAATGCCCCAACACTGGAAGTTTTTAAGAAGAGATTGGACAGCCATTTGTCTGAAGTGGTGTAGGGTTTCCTGCCTAGGCAGGGGGTTGGACTAGAAGACCTCCAAGGTCCCTTCCAGCTCGGTTCTTCTCTTTCCCCACTTAACATTTTTTCATTAAGTTATAAAGTATTATAAAATACAAAATACAAAAGCAAATAAGAGGCCAGTGAGGGGGAAGGGGAAAGGGGAAAGAAAAGGGAGGAAGGGTAGGGAGAGAAAAAGAAATATTGACTTCCGACTCTGTGACAAAACAGGGCGATATGTAAAAAAAAATGTCACAACTTTTCGTTTGATCAAAATTAGCACGAAACCAGGTCGTTCCTGCAAAAGCCCATCTGTCAAAATGTGCAAAATCTTGGTTTTTTTTTTGCAGATTTGGACCCATTCCCTTCTTCTCTTGCCCCCAAACCAACCCCTGTCTTTTGCACATGTCCGAGATCCCCCTTCCTACCCAGCTTTTCACTTGACGCCAGGTTTTTTTTCCAGACTGGACAGATGTGGAATGCATCTGGTGGATTTTTTCAGGTCATGGAATTATCCCCGTTTGAGATTCCTGGCACTCAGGCTGGAGGACCTTCACAGCTCTGTGCAGGAGCGACTGTTGCCATGAAGAATTACGATTTGGCAGGAGGGACACGCGGCAGATGCTCGGCTCCACAATAACAAATGTGTAGCCCTATCGTAAACTGGGCTCCGTGTGCTATGGGGAGCTTTGCCTTTAAAAAAAAAATCCTCAAATTTGGTGGTGTGTTTGTGTGTGCGTGTGTGTGAAGGCGCTTGTTTTTAAAGAGCCAGGCTGGGGGTTCCTCCGTTTTCCAATCTAAGACTAAGAGAAGTATTTTGTCAAATGTTTAGACGGTTTGCCTGAAATGGTCTAGGGCCGTGATGGCGAACCTATGGCACAGGTGGCACGCAGAGCCGTTTGTGCCGGCACGCGAGCTGCAGGCAAACTTACCTCACGGCGCATGCGCGTGCCTCGCAGCTGATTTTCGTTCGGTTTGAGGCCTTTTTCAGCCTCCCGGAGGCTTGAGGAAGGCTTCTGCAGGGTTGTGCAGGCTTTGCAGGCCGAAAACTAGGCCCGTTTCGTCACTTCCTGTTTTTCTGAAAATACCGGAAGTGATGAAACAGGCCTAGTTTTCGGCCTGCAAAGCCTGCAGAAGCCTTCCTCAAGCCTCTGCGAGGCCGAAAAAAGGCCTCAAACTGGCCGAAAATCAGCTGTGAGGTGCAGTGCAGGTAAGGGGGCGTGGGGTGGGTAGGGATTGTGCGTGCATGCATAGGGAGCATGGGGGTGGGGGCAATGCACCTTCTGGATGCTGGCACGCAAGCATGAGTGTGTAAGCGCGCGCACAATTTTTGGCACAGGAGCCCAAAAAGGTTAACCACCACTGGTCTAGGGGCTCCTGCTTGAGCAGGGGGGTGGACTAGAAGACCTCCAAGGTCCCTTCTGCCTCTGTTGTTCTGTTATAAAATATTACCATGGTAAACTAGAATGGACATGCTAGAAATAGGATTGAAATCCAAAGGACTATATTGCAGGTAACTTTGCATGAATACAGCTAGTCCTCGGCATACGAGCAGCTTGTTTAATGACTGTTCTAAATTACGGCTTGCCTTAGATATGAAAGCCGGATGGGTGATTTTTGAGTCCGTCTCTCTCTCTCTCTCTCATCCCAATCCACCTCACAAGGTTGTGAGTGTGGGGAAAATAGGAGTATTATGTACCCGTGTTGAGTTATTTATAAAAGTAATAAAGGCAGGATAAAAAAAAAATCAAGGGAAGGAAGGAAGGAAGAAAAAGAAGAAAAAAGGAGAAAGGAAGCAAGGAAGGAAGGAAAGAAAGAATGAAAAGTAAGGAAAGAAAATGAAAAGAAAGAAAGAAGAAAGGAAAGAAAGAAAGAATGAAAAGGAAATGAAAAGAAAGAAAGAAGAAAGGAAAGAAAGAATGAAAAGGAAGGAAGGAAAAAGAAAGAAAAAAAGAAAGACAGAAAGAACAAAAGAAAAGAGAAAAGGAGGAAGGAAAGAAAGAAAGAAAGAAAAAGGAAGAAAGAATGAAAGAAAGAAAGAAAGAAAGAAAAAGGAAGAAAGAATGAAAGAAAGAAATACTCTCTCTTTTAGCCCATCTGACTTCTTGGCTGTTGCTAGACGCAAAACTACAGAAGGGAGCCTGATCTATAAAGAAACACGCAGCCAAATAGCTGAAAGGTACAAGAGAAACCATGGGGCTGGGCCCTTTTCCCTTTGCCAGGCCTTGCTGCTGCCTCTAGCCTCTGCTGCTTGAGATCCTCTTCCGTGCCGTGCCTCATGGCCGGGAGCCCTCGGAGTCCAGAGAAGCCAAAACCGCCTCTCCATCACCTTCTTCTGTGGGATCCTTTATCACGGGAGACACCAAGAATTAATCCAAAGACTGACTTCTTTCTTTCTTCCTTTCTTTTTTTAAGCTTCAGCCACCGAGTTGGAGGCTCACTTTGTTTTGAACTTTACAAAGCACCTTGAGCTTATATCATGGAACAAAAGCTGGAAAGAGAGAAAAACAGAAGGCCAGGAGGATGTGGGGGATGAAAGAGAAACCCAATCAATCCCAACCTCGTTGGTTGGAGGAACTTCTAAAAGATCCTAATTTAAGGTCACTGGGCTTTTCCTCATTTCCCTCCAGCTAGCCTAAAGATGGTTAATTGAATGCAACGCATCTGGTTACTCCCTCTGTATTTAATTGTCATTTTTCCCTCCCTTCTGAGTTGTAGAGAGAGAGAAAAAAAGATGCAATTTGGTGGGAAGGTTCAGAGGGGCCACTGAGATCTTCGGTGGACCCCAGTGGAGGCTAAAACACAAAGAGAATGATTTAGATAAAAAGGGGTAAAAGTTCCCCTCGCACATACGTGCTCCTTTTTCCCCCCTGGGCGTGGTGCTCGTTTCCGTGACAAAGCCGAAGAAGAGCCAGCAACTGTCCGAAGACGTCTCCATGGTCATGTGGCTGGCAAGACTAAACGCCGAAGGTGCATGGAGGAAGGCTGCTACCTTCCCACCAAAGGGGTCCCTATTTTCAATTTTTTTTTACATGCTTTCGAACGGTTAGGTTGGCAGAAGCTGGGACAAGTGACGGGAGCTCACTCCGTTACGCGGCGCTAGGGATTCGAACTGCCGAACTGCCGACCTTTCTCATCGACAAGC